AATAATGGCTCCCTCTTCGATCTACATACTTGCTACACACGATAATAATAATTAAACTTCACAATTTAATATAATATTCACGAATCATTGCCTTGAACATGCCGTGTGCTTAGTAAATTTGTTAATTAAATTAAATGATAATACATGCATAAATTACGTCATTTTGAGAAGAGAGACCTGTGGTGTCTCCTTGAACCTCCACGTGGAACAACGAGATTTTTCATTGAAATCTTCATCAGTTGGAAAAATAGGAAAAAGTCATTTGTACCCAGGAGGAAGAATCCTCACGCACAATAAATGCTTCTGACCGACCTGTCATGTGAGGGGGCGTGTACAATGGAGTGTACACCCCCGTGTACGTGTAGTCGAACTAGGAAAAATAATAGTCTGGTTGCGGTAAATTGGATATTGCGTGTTTGGATAAGCTTAACTATTTAGTTATGAATTTTATTGATTATAGTTAAAAATAAGTAAGTAATATATTTTGAAACAATGCATATTTTACTATTAAATAGCAAGGCAAGTTATCTAGGCATTTTAAAAATAAAGAATTAATAAGTAACTTTAGGTTACTTAAGGAAGTACACAAACCAACGAAACGAACAAAAAATGTGTGTTTTTTTGTAGACATTATAATTCTTGTATGCCCATAAACCAATGAAACGAACAAAAAATGTGCGCTCTTTTGTAGACATTAGAATTCTTGTACGTCTTCTCTTTTGCTAATTGAATTGGCTGTAAATTTCACCTTCACAATCATTTTTTTGTCTCTTAATTTGACCTTATTCTTCTCATGGATTATACTCATAACCAATAACATTTTGTTGATTTCGATAATTGAGATAACATGAAAAATAATCCCATCTAGTTATATAGCAAACACCTTAATTTCAAGTAAGAACTCTGTTGAATGAATGAAAGATATTACTTGTCTGTTTCCAGGTTGGATAATAAGGATCAAAGAAAAACAATCACGTTCGATTACTATGCATCATAAATTACACAAACAATGGATCATGTTAAACGAACATAACTATTGACACGTTTGATGACCGAACACATACACCTCGAGGGTCGGGATGATTTAATTCACACGGAACCCATGCACTTTGTGAGGATTGATCAACCAAATGGGCAATTTCTTCTAGCAACATGGCTTTATACTTTTTTATTTAGCTGGAAATGAAGCCAATCCAAAAATTTGAAAATAGCAAGGAATGCATTTGGCATGATTTAAGCCGTTAACATCAACCTCGTAGCCGTTGGAAATGCTTATTGTCGCATGCTTTTGGTAATATCGTTTTTCTTGACTTTAATACCCCATTCCTTATATTATATGAATCATGATTGATAGAGAAAGCATGACATTTGATGTGTTCGAGTACGCAACTCATTTAAATATCTTTAATTTATGAGTCTGTAGTTCCAAGTTCAAACGTTATCACCAACCATTTGTGAAAATGTTAAAACACTTGATGAGAAAAAGACTGGAAGAGACAGAAGATTTTGCATACAATTTACTTGAAATTTTCACAACAATGTGAACAAGAAAATTAAGAAAGGACGCAGTGATTAAATAGCTAATCAGTTCATACTAAAATACCTTAAGGCATCAAATACAACTATGGGCATGTTTGGCAACACTTCTGATTTTGTTCCTGTTTCTTGTAAAAAAAATTCTTGAATAAACCACCTTAGGGGGTGTTTGATAGGCATTTTTATGTAAAAATGTATTTTAGAATAGTAAATTGATGTGAAATATGTGGTTGAAAAATAAATAAAAGTTTTTGATTTACGTGTAATATTATTTTAATAAAAAATGTGATTGAAAAGAAGAGAAAAAAAATACATTTTGAAAAAAATGACTACCAAACGGGACCTAAACTAACTTCTCTAAAAGTTCTTCTAGCAAGATAAAACACTTTGAGAAAATTATCTTAATATTTTTAAGAACAAATTTTAACTTTACAATAGTCATGTCAAATAGATCCTAACATAGATGAGGAAGCAAGAAGAGAGAAATTTCACTATTCGCTGGGTCAAAAAACATACATACGCATGATATATATCAAATTGAGTAATATTTTATAATTCTCTCCCTCTCTCTCTCTCTCTCGGTAGATTTTTCCATATAATAATATAATTGTAAAGAACAAAAGAGTCTGAACAGCAAGAAAAGACTCAGTTAAGCACTAAATTCTCCTTTGACAGGATCATCCGAGGGTAATATAAATATAAATATAGATCATTGGCACATCAACATAACCTGAGTGAGAAAAAAGCTAAATCAAAAGGCAAGAAGCAATAACACAAGTGATTCTTTTAACAAACTAGAAGAAAATGGCTAGAACGAGAAAAGCTCGTGCAGGAGTGGATGAAAGGAATACTGATAAAGGGAATATTGCCTTACAAGAAATGGTTAAGGAGGCAGCAGCCACGGCTGCAGTAGGCACAGTACATCGAGCGCGCAAGAGATTTGTTGGGGTTCGGCAGCGGCCATCGGGGCGGTGGGTGGCGGAGATAAAGGATACTATTCAAAAAATAAGGGTGTGGTTAGGCACCTTTGACACGGCTGAAGAGGCTGCAAGGGCCTATGATGAGGCAGCTTGCCTGCTTCGCGGGGAAAATACCCGAACGAATTTCTGGCCTCGTTCTCCCTCGTCGTCGTCTTCCTCTTCATCTCTTCCCCCAAAAATTACCAACCTTCTTCTTAGCAGGCTAAAGGCACGAAACAACGAGTTGACTGCTTCCTCCTCCTTGCCTGTTGATCATCAAAAGAAAACGCAAAAGCAAAATCAGTCAGAGGAGTCCATAGATGAATTGGCTGATTTTTCAGAAACACAATTCACTGATTTTCTCAATGATCCTGAAGATTACACCATCGATGACAGCAGTATGATCACTAATGACTATACAAGATCATGCCTAACACAAAATGATGACTTTCAAACTAGCAATTTCAATTTGGATCAGAACTTGAATGATTTAGTACATCTTTCTAATGAGCAGTTTTCCAGAGGGGATGCGAATATTGGAGGAGAAATGGACAATGAAATTATAAATGAGAATACTGGTCTAGACGATGTTGATTTCAAATTTGTTGATGAAACCGTATCATTTAATTGTACCCCTTTTGAGATTGCTGAAGAGATTTCGAAGGAGGGATATGAAGATGAGCCATTGATGCTTAGCGAGGTCATGAAGAGGAATTATGAGAGGAAGTTTTCAGCCTCTCTCTATGCCTTCAATGGGATCACAGAATGCCTCAAGATGAAGCACGAATCCGGGAGTGTACTGGGACAGGAAAGTTCTGATCACTTGAACAGACTCCAGAATGCATGTAAAATGAACCAACAAGAGAAGAGAAAACTTGAAGAAGGCAACTTTAAAGAGAGTGAAAAGAATATGCAGGATCAGTATGCGCAAGCTTCAACAGAAAATGGAGAATTGTCACTCTGGACCTCCATTGATCTCCAACCTATATGTATGCTTAGTTAATCAGTTGACAAATTTTTTATACTTTAACAATAAAAAAAAGTGTATTAACTTCTTAGTTAAAGAGAATCAACAATAAGCTTTCACTACATGTTTCTGAAACAAAACTTCAAACTAAATCCAGAATCTTTTCAGGACAGATAAAAAGTATACGAAAAAAGTTGCATCGTGAAGGAAAAGTGTTGTAGTTCATGACTAGTACTATACAAGCTAACAAAAAGAATGGCCTTATTCCTAAACTAAAATATCAATATATACAGTTTAGATGAAAGAAACAGTTGGATAATTCTTACACAAAGGCAGATTCTGTTACCTGTACTTCTATGTCCTCCTCTAACTTCCCCTTCTGGACAATGTAATCAAACAACTCGTTAGACTCCACACATTCCATCATGAGATACGTATCTAAATACATCTATACAACCTCATATACTGTATGATATGGGATGTATAGTGTATTAATAATCTTAAAATTTTGTCTCTCTTCTTACAGCAGAAATCTTATGAATAATCTAATAAGAACAAATACAAACTTAATTCAGTCAACACAGCATAAATTAGAGATCCAGAAGAATTTAATGAGTGCAGCTACTGGAACGTCATACAAAAGTGAATGAATTATGACGTAACACTCAATGACGAGAAATGAAACTGCATTTAACGCTTAACAATACACAATACCCCCAAAAGGAACATCAATGTGTTAAAATGGACAAAAAAGGGCTCATGAATAATACCATCAAGGAATCCATAGTCACTGCACTAGCTAAAAACTGATGAACATTGTTCCAGCAGTTCTAACAACTTTAATCCAAATTTTACGTATATCGATGAAAAAACAACCCCACTTTCAGAAACTTTGTCATGGCATCACAGGATTTTTGATCACCAAGTCTCATAATTATACATAAGCCATTTCAATCGCACTGTTCCATTTTTAACCGAATCAAAGACTGTACATGCATCTTTGTTACAAAGAAAGTTACACACATAGCAATAAAACTGACTTCCCGTTGCTATTCCTTCCATATTGTGTACCATTGCCATGCACTCTTTAATGGAAGATCCAGATGATGCAGCAAGGATAATCTTAATCTTATCCTTCAATGGAGATGCACCTGACTTCGTTCTTTTACAATTATCACGTAGGCTTCCACTTTCAGTTGATCTTCTTTTCTCAACCATGGAAGACGGAGACATTTCAATATCTCCTTCCTCACAATGGGAAGACTTATTTATGTATTTTAAATAAAATTGTAGAACACAACATAATGTTAGAAGGCGTAATCTCATTCATTTGTCAAATCTTTCTTCCCATTGTTTTTCGTCAATTTCTTCACCCTCGATATTAGAAGCATTATTTGTTGCAGGAGCTACATATGATATATCCCAAACAGATCACTGAAAACACAGACAGTACTACCAATTGAACATTATAGCCAAAAATATGGGCAACACACAAATTCAAAAAGAACCTATCTCTATATATCAAAAATTAAAATGAATATTAACCAAAAAGCTCAGGTGTAATTTAGAACAGAACTAATATGCTACACTTATACAAAATTTCCAGCAGAAGTATTCCAACCTATAAGTCATTCTCAAACTCACAAACAGATAGTTATTTCAGTAGCAGGATGAGAAACGTACGCAAACTCACAAACAGATAGTTATTTCAGTAGCAGGATGAGAAACGTACGATCGGTAATAGGATAAAAAAAAAAATAAAAAAAATCTAAAAACTTCGGAATGTTGAAGAGGCAGTTACAATTTTACACTGTCAACAAATAAGAAGCGGAAAATTACAAACTAAACCTGAAAAATTAGAATTTTTCATATATTCCCCTAATTCTTTTAAAATATTTCCCCCTAAAACTTAAATCTCGGAAATTAATCAACATGTTTTCTAATAATTACAAATACGTAAATTCACAGCTTGCAACAATGTTTTCAGTACTATGATATTCGTAAAATCCGCAAAAAACAAAAACTCAAAATTTAACGATATGATTTTTTTCAAAACCTGAAGGAATTGAAAAATTCAAAACACATGAATAGAAATATTCATAAATCAACAGATAGAAGCTTACAGAAATGCAAAATGACGAAATTGTGTATAAATTTGGCGAACAAAAGCAGAGCCCTCTAAAATCAAAATTGCAGTTGCGGGCAAGAAATGGGGACTGTTCAGGTTACGGATTATATGGTTAGGCCCAAAATGATCGATTGATATGCCCAATAGTAGAATTCGGCTTTTAGTGGACCACTAATTGTAGGCCATCAGTCCAAATTGGCCCGTAAAAAATAAAATAACAATAAGAATTCATGTAGTTAAATTTGATGAAAGGACAAATCATGTTAATTATTTTTCATATTTTTAAAGAACGTCTCCAAGAGAATTTAAATATAACATACTATCTATTTAAAGAGTTACTGCTTAAACTAAGATTCAAGTGACTCTATTTTAACTTTAAAAAATAGAGGGTGAATTTTGCTATCCATATTAGGGATGAACCTAATTCGGTTAAATTTAGTAGCAAAGAGAACTGAATAGATTGCCGGTATGTATTTTGAAAATTGAACCATTGATCCCACCTCTAAAGTATAGAACACGAATCGAACCGTACAATTCCAATTTCAATTAAGTTCAATTCGATTCCTTCAATTAAGTTGTCAATTCTACCTATACAGGTTCATAAGTTATATTTATTTAAATATCTAATTTTTCCATAATCTATTCATTAAAACTATTTACATTGATGCTAATGATTTGTATCTTCACTATCTTCAAGAAAGTAATACTGAACCATTGGTGATGGTATAAAATGCTCTCAATTACCCGTGCAAAAAAAGGCATTACAAAGCAAACGAAACTCTGATAAGCCAAACAAAGTTGTTGACCTTAAAAAATGTGCCAACAGAATTTTAAACACGTATACATCACCTGCACAATGAACACCACATTAGAAGGTAAAGGCTGCCAACCGAGAAAAAGATCCAACGATCGTTTGCACTCTGATGGTCAAATCAGCGGTTACATTGAGATAAATAGAGTGCAAGAGAAGGAGAGTGGATTTGGCTAGGATTTGAGGACGTACATTAATTGTGAAATTAATCACGTATGTTGAGGAGAAGTGGAAATGGGCCAAAGAGTTAATAGGCTGAGTTCAAGGCCCAAAACAAGATTACTTGATGCAATTATTTAATTAAATTAACCCAATCAATTGAATAGTCAATGTCACGTTGACATATATGAGACCTCCTCCGTCACGTAATTTATAAGTGTAACAATGGTCCCCTAAGTCTAAATTGTACATTCATATGGAGGTCCAACTTTAAAATATAAGTTATCAAGTAAGCGAGATCTTATAGATTGCCTTAAAATGAGTAACTCCAATAAGTGAAGTCTTACGAACTACCTCGAAAATATACATTGATCCCATTAGGGGGAGAACTTACGAATTGTCTTGAGAATATAAATCGCTTCAATATATGAGGACTTACAAACTGCCACAAAAACATCTATGTGAGTCTGAATCAGCGAGGGGCTTACAGATTGCCTCGAAAGATAAATATCGCATAAAATTTGTCAAAATTTAAGCAGCATCTCTCTTGTAATATGGGCTAAATCAATCTGTAATATAACATAATATCTCCACTGCCAATACAAAATAAATTGGGGTCCCCTTCCCCCCTCCCCAAAATAAGGTAAAATGATGATCTGATCAAACTTGGTAGTATGGAATAAGTAACAAGATGTCTATAAAATGATAATATAGATTACGTAGCATACATACTGACAGTAATGAAAATAGGATCATGTGTCACGAGACATATTAGCAGTGACGTGACATGCATACTTGACAGCAATAATATAATGCATATATTTGCAATAATAAAGTAACGAAAATAAGATAGTATCACAAAAGTCGATTGCTTTCATTATCTTCAAAGCTTTGATGAAAACTAATGTAACCCAACGAGAGAACTTGATCATGCATGGAACACTATATAAGCATGTTTAGTATCAAAGACAACCAACAAAATTTTGACATCCTTTTTCTTCCTTAATCATGTCAAATGTTTTTAGGTCCAATCTAATTTCAGTTTTCGTAATGGACATCAACGTTTCTAATATCTAGGGGCAGACCCATTAAGGGCTGAACAGGTGCAGTCGTCCCCACTGAATTTTCAAAAAACTTTCAATTAGGCTTTTTTAAATTTAATTTTTTAGATTTTTTTTCATTTCTTTCACAATTTATTTTAGCCAATTTTCTATCTTGTCCCCGATGAACTATAATCCTAAGTTTGTCCCTGCTATTAACACTAACTAAAGGATTATGCAATTCGAGTCTCATAGAAGCCTAGCTTGGTTGAAATAGACGAATCCTTGATAGTCAAGAATTGAAGTGAAGCGATAACCTTGGGTGCATCCCCAAGAATAATATGCAATTCGAGTCTCATAGAAGCCTACAACCATGCAGTAGTCAGTGTGCAAAATGTGCAGTAGAATAAACAAAACTTGAACAGTCAGACATTGTTGATATGAATGTACAAATAACGCAAATTCAACAAAAAATTATGCAGGGAATTAGAGGGCTAAAGTACACAGAATATAACTTTTCAATGTGAGAAAGTGCATTTGATTAAAGAGATAAACTTGCATTAATATAAACAGATGACCTCGATTTTTTATACCTCCAACATGACTAACAGATTCCAAGGTCTCCCGCGTATATGTAAACCTACTCTTACACACTAAGACAAATCGTTAACCACACATGACTTTCTTTGGTGGTAGAAAAGGTGGCCACGTACACTCTGACGATCAAATTAGTTGAAGTAATATTTATATAAGTATTGGAGGCATTTTAGACACGAGCCTCTTATGAGAAAAGGGGTTCGGCTTTGGGAAAATATGTTATAGTAAAGAGAGCAAAGTTATAATTTGAGAGTCTAAACTTGCATTATTTTTTATATGGCACATTATGTGAATTTTATAGTAGAAGAGAATAGATACCAACCGTTGATTGAAAGTATACATGTTCTCATCCATGTGGTAGAGGCCTCTTATCAAATGTATCAATCAATCATATGCATTTAATGTTAACACTATTTTGTTGCCCAAAAATCTAACACGAGACTTAAAACTTGATTTGTTTGGCTAAATAGGGCGATGGTAGCAGTGAATTGTTGCATCAATCACTCATTAAAGATTGCATAAAAGATCTTCTACTAAGCCCCCCGCAACCTTAACCCATCCATGAGGGTTTGGTTCTCCATAGGGGGTTGACTCCAACAAATGGGATTGGTTCTCCATGGCGGTTTGGTCAAATTTCCTCTTGGGTAGAATGACATGGAGCGTGGGTTCGAATTCACTAGTCGTATGACTACCAAGTAGAGGTTTTTGGATTCTCGCTGAAAGAGGCGTACCATAAAAAATGCTCGATATGAAAGGTAAGAATTAAAATTCCTAAGAACAAGTTCTTTCAACATACATGGCAGTAGGGTAATAATCCCAAGTAGTAAGAGCCCATATGCTTGGGATAACTCTCCTCCTATATGACCAATGAAGATGAAGAACGTAAGAAAATTAGACATTCAATAATGAGTAGAAAAATTGCAAGGATAATGGATTTCCATGGAATTTATTAAAAGATTTAGGTGTATAATCAAATCTAGGGTCGTGTTGCCTTTTTCGTCACTACCATCATCATAATCATCTTCGTCAGCAGCGAGACGAGTATAGTAAATATTTCTTCTAGATGCCATTGAAATTAACACGACATTCAGTTATAGAAGGGTCAAATGACTCCAAAAGAACCAGCTTGAGTTAAACTGTAAGCATCAACGAAAAATAGAAAACATTAGAAACTGAATTTAAAATTCGGATTAAGGCATGTTCTTGGTTGAAAAATAGAAGGCACCAAGACAAATTGTTAACCACACGTGACTTTCTTTGGCGGTAGAAAAGGTGGCCGCGTACACTCTGACGATCAAATTAGTTGAAATAATATTTATTTAAGTATTGGAGGTGTTTTAGACACGAGCCTCTTATGTGAAAATAGGTTCGGCTTTGGGAAAATATGTTATAGTAAAGAGAGCAAAGTTATAGTTTGAGAGTCTAAACTTGCGTTATTTTTTAAATGGCACATTATGTGAATTTTATAGTAGAAGAGATTGGATACCAACCATTGGATGAAAGTATATATGTTCTCATCCATGTGGTAGAGGCCTCTTATCAGAGGTCTCAATCAATTATATGTATTTAATGTTAATACCATTTGTTGCCCAAAAATTTGACAAGAGACTTAAAACTCGATTTGTTTGGCTAAATAGGGCAGTGGCAGCATTGAATTGTTACATCAATCACTCATTAAAGATTAGATAAAAGATCTTCTACTGAGCCCCTCACAACCTTAACCCGTCCATGAGGGTTTGGTTCTCCATAGGGGGTTGACTCCAGCAAATGGGATTGGTTATCCATGGGGGTTTGGTCAAATTTCCTCTTGGGTAGAATGATATGGAGTGCGGGCCCGGATTCGCTTGTCGTATGACTACCAAGTAGAGGTTTTTTAAGTCTCGTTGAAAGAGACGTAAGATAAACAATGCTTGATATGAAAGGTAAGAATTAAAATTCCTAAGAACAAGTTCTTTCAACATACATGGCAGTAGGGTAAGAATCCCAAGTCCTAAGAGGCCATATGTTTGGGATAACTCTCTTCCTATGTGACCAGCGAAGATGAAGAACGCAAGAAAAGTAGACATTCAAAACAAGTAGAAAAATTGCAAGGATAATGGATTTCCATGGAATTTTATTAAAAGATTTAGGTGTATAATCAAATCTAGGGCCATGTTGCTTTTCACCACTATCATCATCATTATCATCTTCATCAGCAGTGAGACGAGTATAATGAATATTTCTACTAGATGCCATTGAAATTAACACGACATTCGGTTACAGAAGTGTCAAATGACTCCAAAAGAACCAACTTTTGTTAAACTGTATAGCATCAACGAAAAATAGAAGACATTAGAAATTGAATTTAAAATTTAGATTAGGGCCTATTTGATAGAGCCATTTTTCATGGATTTTCCACCCAATTTGTGTTGTTTGATTCCCAAATTTTTTCCAGGGAATTACTTTTCCACTTCTCCCTCACGTAAAGCCATTTTCTTGGTTTTGAAGGAATTCCAATTCCATGAGTTTTGGTGAGAAAATGGGGTTTTCAGCTCTTATTTTTATTATTATTTTTTTTATTTTTGGCAATTAAAACAAATTTTATCCATAATTGTAAAATTTTTATCTATTTAATTGACAATTTTCATGAAATCCAAAATTTCAACATTTTTCAGGTGAAAAATTATACCAATCAAACACATTTAATTGACAATTGCCAGTAAAATAAGTTCTAGGCAATTCAATTCCCTAAAATTCGTTTTCTTTCTACCAAAATTTCTTTCTTGCAATCAAACGAGCCCTTAGAGAAAAATCAAAGTAGCACCATACAAACTATATATGGGGCAGTTGAACCATTCATGGTTTGAGCCGGTCCAAATTGCTCATGGACTCTGCTTCCCTATAGATATGCTGCAACTTCAAGAAAATATTAGCCCAATCAAATTTTGACTATTGATTTTTTCAGTTCCATTAATTGAAAAAATGAAAATAACATGCTTTTACACTTGAAATGGTAAATATAAACAAGTTATATTTTAGAAAAATTACTTACTTTGGGATATATAATAGACATATTTGTACAAAATAACGTACATTTCTAACTTACTAGTCACATGTGAATGTGTGTTGCACATTACTCTGGAACAATTTTATAAGTACTGTAAAAATAATATTTTAGAATTCGTGAATTTGAAAAATAGTAAAAAAATAAATAAATTGTTTATATGAAATGACTTTTTTATTTAATGAGAAACTCTTTGTACACTATATTTTTCGTATGATTAGAGGTATTTGACATAATTAAAACCTTTATAGCTACCATATGACCTTGTGCATTCAATTGAGATTTGGTATCCTCATGTATTCACAAAGAAAAAATTTCATGAATTGTTACCACAAGTTTGAAGATGATGAACAGAGGAAAATTAATAATTGAATATTAAAATTAAGATTAAAGACCTTTTATACATGGATAATGTAATTACAAATTGTATAGTCATCATAGTAAACGTATTATCTATTTGTCAACTAGGATGAATTTCAAAATATCAAAATTTTCAGCATTGTTGGAAAAAGATTTGATCAAATCATTTTGAACTATTGCCACTTTAATGAACCATTCATTTTAATACGTTGATAAGTCTCTTGAAGCTTTTGATTCCATAATGTGGGAGAGCAAAATAATTGAGAGGTTAATTCATTTATGTCTAACTCCCATGAGAACAATCAAATACATTCATGAATGTGGAATTTAATTAATTTGAATTTGTGAATATAAAATAATAATTTGTATTTACGTGATCTTGAAGAAGAATTTAGATTTAAAAAAAATAAAATGTGTGTACGTGAACCTAGAGAAAAAATTGATATCATAGCTTAAAATGAAAATCTTGAAAATAAATAAGTTTATATGAATTTGAAGAATTTATTTACTCTCTGAGTAACTGAATAGTTACAAAACGCATAAATTAAAATTAATTTATACATGCACATAAATTGTAAAACGCATAATTGAATGTAAATATATATTGAAAAATGAAAAGTAAAATATTATTGAAATAATTGAATAGTAGTAAGACTAGAATCGTTAAATAATAATAATAATAATAATAATAATAATAATAATAATAATAATAATAATAATAATAATTCTCACTTGAGATGATATTTAATGTATTATAAATTTTATCCATTTTTATGCATCGAAAGTTGACTCCTAAGGAACATACGTCCATACAGATTTTCAATGTCAATTTAAAGTGTGGATCCACCACCATTTGGTAAAAATAACACTATAAGAATACGTTTGGTTTGATTACCAACATTTTTCACGAAAAATATCATTTTTTCCATTCAATTTTCTACTTTTGTGCCGTTTGATTGATATTTTTCAATAAAAAACATTTCATACTTTTAATCGCATGACCATATTTTCCTTGAAAACAAAGAAAATGTTTTCTTTATGGGGAGCATATTTTTATTTTTCAAGTAATTTTTCTCTCTCTCATCTATCGACCAATAAAAAATGAATAAGTATAACATTTTGTAAATTGAAAATTACATTAATTAAACACATTTAATTGATAATTTCCATACAAATAAATCGTAGATAATTTATTTATTTACTTTCTATATAAATTTCATTTTTTCAATCAAACGCACCCTAATTGTTAGCTTGCAATCGTGGAATTGGGCGCCACCCCATCAAATAATAACAAAATTAGAATTGGAAGCCGCTTTATTTTGAAGGCTCACATGCACTTACAGATGCATACCAATACTACCAACGCCCACTCTATCATCATCATCATCATCATCATCATTATTATTATTATTTCACGTGCACGGTTTAATGTGGCTTAAAAATTACAATAATGCTTCTTGTACATTCTATGAATTACATGGAGTTTGACATCCTTTACAAATTCAAAATGTATTTGGCGAGAAAATGTGTTAAATTCAAAAATTGTCTAATCATGTGTCGCCACATGGAACAATGTCAAAGATGATGTAAAAGACAATGTACAAGTAACATGATCCTAAAAATTATAATCTTATTTATATATACCCCATCCCCATGGAATTCTGGGGGGCTGGACAAAAGTTTTGAAATGAATCATCACAAATTGGATCGAGTGGTTCGATTCTATTCTTCTTAAATTAAATTAATTAATGAGTATTAAAATTAAGAATTGAACGGATTGATTTGATTCTTGACTCTAGATCAATAACTGAAGAACGATACCTCATATTTTTTTGACCATCACGTGTTTACTAAAATGAGTATAAGTTGATCTATGAATAATGAAATCCCGTGATTCCAAATTTTTATGTATTTATCTAAGTTGACCTCAAAAGGTGATAAGGGAAGTAAAGTCCGTCCATTAAATATAAGTTGGATCAGAGGCTAGAGGCACGCTCCATCCCTCATCTCCCTAACTCTTTACTTTTCCTAGAAATAAGATCTCCAAATTAATCTCCGGCATGGAAAATTTATATCATGAGCTAAAAGATGTTCAAGCAACTTGAAAGGACGAGGCATAACTCCTAATTTTCAAATTCTCACAACAATCAATTGGGAACACTTAATTAGTAACTAAACTTGCATTTTTTTTTATTTGTTTGATTATATTTCTTTTAAGTAGTCTTTTCTTTTTGTGACTTTCAAATATAATAGTTATATTTGGTCTATTAATCATTTAATATTTCTTGGTTAATTTTTATACAATTTTAAAGTGTGAAGTTGTATTTCTCAAACCACACCTTTATAAGTGAAAATGTGATTTATTTCACTTGCACTCATCTGGACAGTTGGCACTTGGGTATTGGCTGATACCTTATCACACGAGTTGTGCTTTCTTTGGCCCGTTGTGAACCGTTGATTTCATCCTATGGTTGAGATTTAGTCTCTCACCATTATTGACTAGAGACTTCGAGACTCTTGGGGTCATTAAGTCCTTTGGTCTTTTGAGTTTCTTGATTTTTCTCTCTCAGTTCGACTGTCAACTGTTCTTCTTCTTCATTTAGATCTCTTGATTGATTCATTTGATTGTGAATATTGTAGAGAGATTATGTTATCTGATGATGGAAGAATTAATAGTGCAATGTTTTAGGCCTTGTTTGTGGATGGTAAATTTGTACTGAGTTCTTGGCAAGGTTTTGTCTAATCGTGTAGGCTAGGGTTCATGTTATTGCGAGACCCTTGTGGATCGATAACCATACTGTGGATCTGATTTGGTTTGGTCAACTGTTTGTAACTCTCTCTTGAAGGTTTTTTGTTAGTGACGGGCTTACTTCTGAGCCCCCCCAGATTAGGCGGTGTTTGGCTGAACTGGGTGAACAATCTGTGTGTTTGGTTATTATTCTTGCACTGTCCTTTACTTCTTCGGTTGTTTGTGGTTTTCTTGGGTCAATATACCCAACGTAAAGTTTTCAGCATTTAGAATAATATTCATCTGTATTTAAGTACGGTCTTTTATAAGAAAGTCACGACGAGATAAAAAAAACTACGGACCCTTCTCAATTAGAAGATTGAAGAGAGAATAGAGAGGGGAAAAAAAAAGTTATTAGGTACTTTCTTGGAAATTCTGTGCGAATTGTTTATTATTTGGGGAACAATGATGAGTGGACACTTTTGGAAATAAATAAATGGAGAGATAACTTAATTATTTGCGATGATTGATTAGTAGCACAAGTACAATAAAACAAAAGAAGCAGCTAAAGTTCCGGTAAAGTAAAATCGCACATGTTAAGTGACAAAAATAAAAAGAAGAACTGCACAGTAGAATAATGCGCTTTATGCTAACAATAACTGTACACTGCATCAAAACTGTCTGGAATGTTTTTTAGTTACAATCATGATTTTGGCCGGAGCCAAAATTTTCAACTCTAAACAGTGAAAAAAAATCTACACAGTGAGAGAGAGATGGAGAAAAAAAAAAAAGAAAAAAAAAAAAGCGTAAGGGTCCCAAACTTTGAAGGTCGAATTATATAGTTGAGTGCTCAAGAAAATTTTTCTCGACTATGGAGAGTGTGCTTTAACACATGTTCCGGGAGGCTGGAACATCTTGCAAGTATAACGGTGATTCTACTACGAAACACTTCGTTTAATTGAGAATACACATCATTCATAACAAGATACAGATTCCCGATATAATGAAAAATGAGATGTTATTGTTTAAAATGCTGAAAGATTCTCTTTAGGGAGCAAAGCTAACCCTATTCTCACAGAAAAAATCAGTAGGAATGAGCCCCAT